AATTTTGTTAGATAAAATTTATCAAACTGTATGTAATTTTTTTTTATATAATTAACATACATATTTTTTTAACGAGGGTTCCCAACAGCTCGGGTTGCTCGTGTTTTTGAAAATAAAAAAAATTATTTGTACATATATAGGCTGGAATGCAGGGCCGCTGGATTCGATCCCGGGACTTTTACATTTCAGTGATGAGCGCCGTGTCAGCGCCTAAACTGTTGCGGCCACAGACGTCCCTCATTACTCGATATTTCTCGGAATAGGTGAGAGATGAGCCCCTCCATTCACGCAAATAAATACATTCGTACGAACAAATAACATACATGAAAGTGACATGTTCTATATAAAATTAAAAATATTTATGGCCTGCTGTCGTGCTTCAATGCCGCGCATGTGTCATTCAAGATATCGTATTTCTTTCATTGTACCATAATAAATTCTTCACACAACGGGCACCTACGGGTCTCACCTCAATGAGAAGTTATCCGTGTGTGGTCATGGTATGAACTATGCACAACCTGGTTAATATGACCTTTTCCATTCTAGAACCAGCCTCCTCAGGCTAGCGTCCGATGTAATTTTTCATTTATATAGTTTAGAGATGTTTCTTTCGTACCAGTGGATTCCCCATTCAGTTTTATAACATTGGCAATTGTTCGTTGGAAATCCGCTGAACGTGATCCAAAACAAAGTTGGTGGGGTCGTCTGGTCTCGTCGTGGCTAATTTCCTTGCCTTATCTGCTTGTTCGTTCCCCCCGAATCTCTAACAAAGTTATGAACAGAATTCCTTAATTGCATTTTGACTGAAATGTTGGGTGATGTATTCACAAACGTTTGACAAAACGGAGTGAGAACAATCTCTTCGCCACGGCGAAGAGTATTACTTTGTAAAGTCCCCTTTATGATAAATATCACACTAATTGATGTACCTAATCGTTAAGTCAAATGAAACAAACAATTTCAATTGAAGAAAATTAAACAGTGAGGATTAATTTGTATGTTAATCTTAACAATATTGTATTTTAAATTCAGTTAAATTCAATAATTCCTGATTCGAATTAAAAATTTAGCGTGTGTTTCTTTTGAAAAACGTATAAGCTTTATAAGCTTCAAATAACAGGAATTTAATTAAAAATCTGATTTTTTCGGAATGTAGTATCTGGCGGATTTTTCTTGTTAAGCCACAAAAATTGCCAATTTTTGTTATAAGTTACTTTATTATAAGTTATAACAGAATGTTAAATAATTTGGCATATTATAAATAACAAAATACTTACAGCAAACAAGGAAATGAATTGATGATTATTGATTAGCGTTAGTAACCATTGATAAGTCTGGAATTCAATTATTTTAAAGGGCGTGACGAGAACGACATTGTGGGGTGGCTGTTTTCCCACTCCTAAGGGAAGGTACACTAGTTGCATTTTTAATCGTCCTTTCTTCTAAACAATTATTCGTTCATCCATTCCTTCTCTCTTACGAGAACAATTGTGCTGATTAGCATATTAATTTCAAGATTCCATTCGTCGGGGTAGAATAAATAAATATTATTCTACAAACTTCTTGTCACGTCAATACTCAACTCTAAACTAACTTGTTTTCACATCAGTAATTACATATAGAACATTTTAGCCCTTCAGAAGGCACCCGACGTCGGATAATCTCATTATGTATAAAGCGAAAAGAGCAAGGGAAAGGCGTCTACTGCCCTAAGGCAAAATAAATATAAGCTAATTAGTTATCATTTCTTGTACTTCGACTCGGGCGGCTTCTTTATGGCTGAAATAGATTTCAGTCGATGCCGGTGCTGAATACGGAACGCGGGCAAGTTATCGACTCGTCGTATGTCGCTGAAGAATTGGTACGGCTGCGAAGTTCTACTGCTTACTCCGCCAGCTTTCGTCGAAGGATATTGAGACTGAATGAATCCGGATCGACTTGAACGGCGGTGAGAGAGAGGTATATAATCTTCTGCTGACAGTTGTAAAATTGATCGGCGGACCTGACAACTGCGATCCGCCACCCTGCCCGTAGAAATACATTAAAAACATGGTTAAATAATTGGCAGCGTCAGGGGGCAAAGAAGCTCCCATGGATCGAATACATACGGGGTTGTGGATGGGGAGAGGTGTTGTGCAACTTATAATCTCCCGTTCCCGCGTCCTCTTCTTTCGGCTTAAGAGAGACACGGTTAAGGCCTCTCCGGAGGCCGTACTAAAAGTGGATCACAACTTGTTCATTCAGTGAGGTTTTAGCAAATACAGATCGGGACGGTTATACTTTTTGGTGGAGCGGGCGCAACCAGGAAGGATGAGGTTGCGAAGCCCTGGGGACGCTCGTTGCCCGAATAATAGGAGGGAGACTGACCACATCTCCCCTGAATACACCCCAGGAGAAAGGTATCTGAGAACGAACAGTTTTTAATGCGGGATGTGTGTAAGGCGGAAGTATCCTTCATTGGAAATATCCTTCGAGCTCGGGTGGTCGGGACGGCGTTCGACTTGTTCGGCGCTTGAACGATCATTCTCATCTCTTTCATCCACTCAGAAGGACCGTACCTCAATACTTTGCAGATCACAGTGCCATTATGACTGGGCGAGGGGTGCAACCTGCAAAGGTGAGCCTGGCGTTCTGTGGCATTTCCTTTTCTCAATCCTGGTCTCACGACGTATTTCCTTAAGACCTTTCCAACCCGTTGGATGCATGGGGGGTTCTAGACAAAAAATAATGGTGTAGCCTTGAGAACGTGGTAAAATTCTTAAGCCCAAGCTGAATTCGTGTGTTTTCTATGCGTCAGCAGCAGACGACAGGTGCTCAATCATTAGGGTACTAGATCCTGTCTGCAAAGACGGGCGAGGGTGCATAAGCAACTGAACTACAGGGTAGCGCAAATTTTCAAGTTCCAAGCCCGGTAGCGCGCTACATGGGATTGGCATCGTAGTGGCCCATTGGTGAGACCCTTGGCCGGTATTTAGAGTAGAGCCTTTTGTTCGGTAGTGCCCTTATCGGCTTACTTTGCCGACGGCAGTGTTCCTTGAAGGGATGGTTAGAAATTTCACTAAAACAAAGCGGCGGACGGAGCGGATCCGGTGTTCCTCAGCACTCTGGAAGTTAGAGTTACCTAGATCCTTTACCTTGATAGTATAACAAGATAGTCAATTTGTCCATTTCAGTGCCATGTGAGCGGCTTTCCAATAGTTATGCGGCACATGGTCGGGTGCATAAAAATCGACCCACCCCCTCGGAATAGGCAAGCGGAAGAAGTTACCTTAGTCTGTGGATGGGTGACTTCTACACTAAACCTAACAGGATTAACACCCCTTGTGATCAGAGGTGTGTCGCTTCTATCTTGAGAATGTAAACATGTGATAAAGCCATGTGCCATGTGCGCATGTTAAAGAACCTCATTGTCATTCTGATGACATTGCGACCCCAAATGGGAAATAATGCATCAACATACACGCTGAGCCTACAGCTTAATTACTTGGTGATGGTGGCTGCCATGCGCGGCAACCTCCTTCCAAAAAATCTGGCAATTGAATGTGTAAAAGAAGATGTATTTTAGGCCCGCAATTTCTAGTCTCTGGCAAGGAAGTACGGCATCCTAGATCATCTCTCACGGATGGATGAAAAAGTACTGAAAAAGAGCGTAAAAATGATATTAAAAAAATTCACCAACGAGAAATTAACACACTTTAAAAGACGCGCCCAATTGACCAACAATTTTATGCTGAACCAGTGGATGACCACGAAATTTGCAAGTTTGGTAAACCATGTAGGAGTGGATCTTAGCGTAGGGAGGGATTTACTGCTTGAAGGCAGAATCTTTAATCCTTTACACCAAAACCTATGACGAAGGCAGAGAAAGGCAGTCAAAGTGCTTAATGTGTAACATGGACGAGGAGGAGGACACTTTCCACTTCCTTCCGGTCCTTATTGAGTTTAGAAAGGCAGCACTGGGGAAAACAAGACTGACACATGAAGCATCGTAAGCTGGATAGAGCAAACAGTGGATGGAAAAAACTCTCTGACTTCTTCACAACAGCCTGGAGATACCGTCAATGTTTGGTTACATAATTGATTTACTAATTCACGGTTAAGATCCAAAAGTAATTTTAATTTATTTCATGCATTTAAGGAATTTGTTTTATTTTAAATTAAATATTGTGTTTTGCCATTTGGTATTCTTTTTGTAGTTCTGACTATGTTTTGCACTTTTTCCTTTCCTTTCTTTTCTTCTTTTTCTTAATTTAATTTTTTATTTGATTCCTTTTTAAGTAGACCTGAACTCCCGGCAGACGGCTATACGATGCTATAACGTATATTTTACTCACAAAAAAGCATAAAATTATGTGTTCAATTAAAGTTTGATCTTTTCTTATTTTTGTTCTATTTAAAAAGTAAAATTCTTAGGTTTTCTTGTTTGTTTAATCTATTCTTACAAGTTGTATCATTAATACTATTTTTTCTCAATATTTTGTAATGTTATGTTCCCCATTTACTAGTTTTCACTTCAACCCTTCTTTTTTACTTATGAATTGTTGGCAGCCCTTAAACGGGAGGTACCGCAACGGCCTCTATATCACTTTTCTATGTACTTCTAAATAATGAGACTTTATTCCCTTTTTTCTTAAGAGGTCGTACGTAATGCTTCCTGGTTTCGATATTTTACGTTATTAAATTATCGTTCTCTTTATATCTTTATTATTTGTATCCAAGAAAATGACTTGTTTTTTTCCCTCGCTTCAGTACTATTTCCTTTATTTCCGCCACATTTCTCCTGTGTGAGAAAAAATAGAAAAATAATTCCACTTCGAAAAAAAAAGAAACCATTCTTTCTCAATGTATGAACGGTGGTAATATTCTTTTCATGATGTGAAATGTTTTACATTAGTTGCCTACGTCATTACGTAATTCACTAATTTTTTCAATCACTTTCTATAGTAATATCTGAACATTGACTGTTTTATTTTAGCATATTATATTTGTTCTTCCTCCAGGCGGGTTATGTGCGGTTGAGGTGTTTTAAACAAAACTGGACACGAAAGGAAAAAAGCCAACCATGGAAACTGCTATCTTTCGGCCCCTCTCCAAAATAACGTAAGCTCTGTCTAAAAGAGCTGAGAAATCTCTTATCCGGGTAAAACGGGTAAATCATAATAATTTTTACTTACTATGAAATTTTGATTTTATTTACATATTTTATTGCTTTTTTCTCGTATAAATTTCATTTGTTTTAGTATAAATTAAACAAGGGATACAAAGATGTGTCACCTGGGTAATGTTTTGGTGTATGGCTTTATTACACATTTTAAAGGTAAATTGTGAATGATCATATCCTGTAGAATTATGCTGTTTTAATTAGACATACTTCTCTAGTGTTTAAATTAAGGAATTCATGTCAAATTTATCGTGGTTCAATGTTTAGCCGTAAATCAATTTGTTTCATCTTTTTTTTTTCAAAACAATACGATTTTGAATGTAGCGAACAGACTTAATAAGAAAACAAACGCACCTGATATTAAGAAAAAATTTAATATGGTATAAAACAATTTTTTTTTGTTAGATAAAATCTCATATAGGGACCATTCTCGTATTACATTTTGTAAGTACCATGCTACAAACAAATTTTAACTATAAAACACAAGGCGATGAGTTTATCCGATGAAGAATGTTTTTGATACAATCTGGTGTAAAGGTTTTGTTTACTGTCTAATATGATGAAATTTTGTATGCTACATCAGGTTAATATGTATCTGACTTGAGTGAAATTTGGTGGCCCCTTGTTGACTTTTTTTTATTAAATGTATATATTCATTGTGTACGTTTCATTCTTCATTCAATTACACTTATACTTTCCTGCAGTGTAAATAATATAGTACAATAACGTATTATAATGTATGCACTGTTTATGGGCCAACAAACATCAAGTGGTCGTCACGGCTCTCTTCCCTATGAACGGAACATGTTTCTTTTTTTCGCACATCTTTGTCACTGATCCTCTCATATTTTGTCTCCTGTTTCCTTAACTTGTTAACGTCTCGTAGTTTCTTCAAGTTATCACATTACTAAAAGAACGTGAAATAAATACGTAACACGTAAATAATTTTACAAGGTCTCTGTTATATTTGATCACTTGGAAGGGTCTTTTAAAATTAAGTTTTTCTCTCATTTGTCACTATGCCTAAAGGCAACACTTATGGAACACTGGTAGGTCGGGCGGGTTTAGCCTATAGTAAACTCTGCACTACAGTAGAAATTAAAGACTAAACTCCTAAACCTATATGTCCGCTCTGTAAAACTACCATCACAATATCCTACATCCTAATAGATTGTCCTTTATACACTTCTAAAAGATCCCTCCATCAGATTCCCAAAGACCTCCAATCCATACTAAGCAACAACTCAACATCAATAAACAAAATTTTTAACTTCTTAACAGACATCCAACTAATTGATAAAATCTGATATCCCATCCTCTCAACTCTTGTTTCCTTTGTTGGTTCCCCATGTTGGCGGTGTGGTGCGGCTGACTTCTGGCGACGCCCGTGCGGGGCCTCGGGTGCTGGTCAGTCTTGGGCTGGATTGAGGGGTGCCTCCCCGGACTCTGAGGTCAAGGAATCTCCAGCGAACTTAGAGGAGGTGTCGATGGTGACTAGACACCGACCCCTCCTCGATAAAGTCCTGCGCGCAATATTAAGACTAAAAGCATCAGTTGCGAGAGATCCGTGGGGTTCCGTTCTTTCTAGGCCTGGGGCTGCCACTGCGCCTGGGTCTGCGGGGGCCTCGCTCTGAGGGGGCCGGGCTGCGCCGTTAACTTGCACAGACTCAAGGCTTAATGACCAATAAGGTTTCAGCCTTTAAATTATTTAAATAAAAAAAATAAAAAAAAAAGATAGAAGGTTGATTGATAAATCACTCAGATGAGCAAGCATGATAGAAAGCCTAGGCAAATAATTTTTTTTAACTGCAAAACTAAAGCGAATGTTTTTCTATCTTGGCTTATCTAAAGGTTTTTCTTAACGGATATTCTCGTAGTTTTTTTGTACTTTTTTGACAAACACAAAAAAGTCCATTATTTACCAGTGTAAATTAAAAATACCCTGCAGTTATTACAAAGGTTGAGAGTAGAAATAAACTGTACATATTTTTTTGTATGGCGAAAAAAGAAAACTCCTTTATTATGCTCTGGGAAAAAGTGTCCATTAAGAGCAATAATATTTGTCACTAAAAGTTATTTCATTTAAAACTGCTCATTACATTTTCAAGTAAATTAGATTTATGTATTAACAATAAATTAAAACTTAACAAAGTGAAATAAAATAAAACAATTTGTTTGTAGTGTGAAATTTCAGTTTATAAAATAACAAATAATATATACAAAAATAAAGAAATTAAAACAAGTCTTACGTAATATAAATTAAAGAAAAGCTCTTTAAAGAAATTAAAAGAAGTATCCTATTTCTTATATTTGGGAGAAAAGTTAAAATATTTAAACAAATTTAGAACAAACAAACAAAAATCTTTTGCTAGGAAACACAAAAACAAAGGTTGGTGATTATTTTCGAAGTTATATTATACAGAAAATTTATGAAAACAGTTTGGAAAATTCGATATTAAAAATTAAAGTTCCTAAGAGCCTAATAAGACTTGACAAAAGGTTTCGACCAATAAAAGTTGTTGTAGAAGAGGGTTAAGCCCCTTGTTTTTTGGTACACTAAAGATGAATTGCACCAGCAATTAGAACATGTTCAACTAACAATTAACAGAAAAAAACAAAACAACGAAACAGTATTGGTGATGTCTAGAGTTTGAATATAAATTAAATCTCTTATTGTTTTAATACTTTTATTTATTTGGTCACTTTATATCTCATCATTTTGGAAAATTTGGATTTATTGGCATTAAAGTTTTGTTTGTTCGAAACAGCCGAGTACTTTGTTAGAAAACCAAGATATAAATTAATATTGTGACTTTGTACAATTTAAATTTTAATCAAAATTGTTATACTGATCTCTTTAGTATTTATGGAGAAGTCTGTTAGTTATAAAAATGACACCACGTTAAAAAAAAAGAAATAATTACTAAAATCCTAGTTGAAAAGGTGTGGAGGGGAAAGTTTCCTGTCGTGGCGAGATGAGCAATAACTCCTTTTGTAACCTCTCCTGAGAAACTCCATAAGCTTCCGAGCAAATCTGCCGTAATTAAACGGTAGTGTGCTCGTGTCTGACCGACCTCGCGGCCGACCGACGATCTGACTGCAGCGCCCGTATTTCAAAATTCAATTATGACCAAACCTACGCCCCGACAAAAACACGAATATTTCTGGGGAGGGAAAAAGTGTAGGCCGATGTAGAAGTGAACTTGTTGACACTGTACGAGTCAACAGATTGCGGGGGGCGTCGGGGGCATGCGCGACGGGGTATGGTTGGGGGCACTGTTCACTCGGTCAGTTTTCAGGAAGAGCTATGGAAGAGCATAGCTAGTGAGCGGAACCATCTCCGTATGCTATGGCTTCTACATATTCAACTCTTCTTATTCTCGTCACAATCCTGCACAGTGAGTATTTCATTTTGATCTATAATTTTATACTTCTTGGAGATACTACCAAAAAACAACTCTAATAAACAGTTTTTATTTTCAATTAAATAATTGATTTTTAGTTTGTTTAACTCATTTCGGGTTTTTTCTTTATTTAACGCCAAAATGATTTTTTGTCAAATCAGCCGTTTGAGGTTTATTCCTGAGTTTTGCGTGAAATCTCTGATATGGAAAGAAGAGATGAACAACTTCCGAAACCGTTTTCTGATTCCAATTTTCCCGCTCAGTTCAGCGCTGTTTGATACCCTCAGGTGTATTGCCAACTGAATGTTTTTTCCATAATTGAGAACTCAAGACACTTTTGATTTATTATAAAAATAAATAAGTGAAATTTGTATACCGAAAACGACAATATTCATAATTAACACAAAATTGATGCTCTCTTAAATTAAACCTGAACTTCAAATTTGACACTTCGTACCTTTTTAAATACAATTTAATTATTGTACTATCAAAAGAAACGAATAAAATATTGTACAATAATTTTTTTCTGTAAGTTTCTGTAAGTACCATCGTTGCTTTTACATTAAAAATCTAAAAAATATTTTTCGAGACTTGAACGACAATATAAAATTAACCATTATAAAATCATAAATGCGTCGAAATATTTTGCGTTTATACATTTTTTTTTTGCCTCCGAACATTATTACATATATGAGATAATACAAGAGAAGAAGTATACAGACCCATCTTGATATACGATTCACTAGTATAGTTTTACTTTCTGCCAATTTTTTCTTACGAAATAAATTTATAAACACCTTTTATAAAATTATACACAATTTCTTTATAATGAAAATATGTGCATAAATGATTCCTTGTAAAATGTTATTTTGTGGCAATACAGCTTTGAATTCGCGCCTGGAACAAATTTTTTACCTAAAATCAATGGCATTTTTATTCATTTTTTTCAAATTCTAACACCAAAAAGTAAAAAAAACTGTCCTAGCTTTTCAGGAATGAGCAATAAAAATAAAGTACGACCCTCTTTCTCCTTCGAATTGAATCCTTAAATTGAAAATAGTCAGGGCAAAGTTTTTGTGCGCTTTTTTAAACGTAAGTAGCGGGCGTTGATCAAGTTGTTCGCCCCACGATATATGATCGGGCACATTTGTCCCCCCGAGTCACACTTACTAACTGGTTTGTAAGAAAAATAGTCAAGCCATTCGTTACACCACCACTTTAATCGCACCACGGCCACGATCCTGCAAATGATAAGAGATTTACTGCATACTCTTTTTCTCGATTTCAAATTGAAATATAATTCACGGTTATACGTTCCTGTGGTTAAGAGCTCAGACGGATGAGAAATCTTGAGGATCATGCTCCATTTTTTTTTTAACTTAAGAAATCAGGTTTTCTCACTTTTCTATAATTTTACATTAGTCTATTTCATAAAACCAAATCTAAGATCTCGGATCAACTTGATTCTTCTTCCGGAGATCTTCGTTGTTCACGGTTTAAAATCGTTCACTTTTTACTAATCCATGCTTAAAACACATATATATCTCACTGGTAACTTATTAAAAATATCTTATATTTAGTTCTTACAATAAATTTGCAATATATGTGCAAGCGTAATATATAATTATTTTAACAACTTTTCAATAAAAAAAAATCAAATAATATTACAAAACATCCATTTACCTACCTTCCTAACAAACAACATGTAATTATTACATTTAATTAATAACGAAAAAATTGCAAACACAAAACAGACCGGGCGAAATAGAAGAATAAAGCTAAACAGAAAGAAAAAAGAGTGAGAACTTAATAAAATTAATTTATGAAGAGGCGACTACTGCACACCCTTCAAGGACCTTCCAAAAGAAGTTGGGGCACAAAAGCCACCTCAGTAAAATACAGCACAGGTTTATTAAAACCATTTACATGTCCCACACACGAGCTAATCTTAATTGCACACCACACCGGCCCCCTTTTTATTTTTCAAATTAAAAAAAATTCACATTCGGTCCCATTTAATGGCGATTTATTACGTCTGCAGGTTCTGTGAAATGGAAAACATTAGCCATTATTAAAACGAAGTTTCATTTACATCTCGGCCTCTGGCCACTTTTACAGTTTGATCTTTTTGTTACAGAAATTCTTATAACATCAATAAAATTGGCTCAGAAAATTATA